GTGCTAAGCCCATAGTCTAGTTTGATTCTATCTGATAAATTTAGAAAATGCATGTAACAGGAACACATAAAAAAGAATGAATAAGAAAGTGGAACCTGAGCATTTACATGGTTTTCCAGAAATCTGGACCAACCATGTGGCTACTGAAACTGAATTCAGGTCAGTGTCCTCTCCTCTTGTTGTGATTCAGCATTCTGTACTCTGGATCAAGGAAGAGAATCCATAAAGAGAACTGGAAAAAAATTGAAACAACTTTAGTAATCTGTAACAAATCAATTCTTGCAGTTCACATTTCCACCAGTATTTTTTTTAAAGCTAATCAGTTTTAATTGTTAATTCAGGACCAAGCCAGCCAAAAATACAAGAGAGACACATCACAATACATTGTTCTTGGGAAATCAGGTCCCTCCCGCCGCCCCCCCCCCCAGCATTTGTAAGAATTGCTTATATTAGAGGGAACAGAGAAGCCTGATGGGTGTGGCAGAGAATGCTAATCAAAAGCTGTGAGTACTCCAGAGCTATGAATTGTAGCTCCACTACTAAACTGATAGAAAGTAGTTATAAAATGAGCTCTGCTGCCTCAGGACTTCTTGCTTTTTAAGAAACAGACCAGCATCCTATTCCTGAAATGCAAAAATGAAGGGACATAAAAGAAGTGCCACAGTCTCCCACTTTCTATGAAGTGCCGACAGTATTTTTGTTCCCTTGTTTTTATGACAGGTACCACATATGATTTTGATCACTGTACATACACTGGGAATGAATCCAAACCTCTTTGTGTAGAAGTGGATTCCAACAACCTGCCCCGATTCCCAGAGTGGATCACCATTCCATTAGTTTGTATCTACATGCTGTCCACCAATATCCTCCTGGTCAACCTCCTAATAGCTATGTTTGGGTAGGTATTAGACTGAAGGGCCCTGGGATGTTGGCCCCATAGCCATTGTGGGTTTTTTAAAGGTCTCTTCAGCCTGAGTTCTTTCTACAAACTGGACAGTTGAAGGCAACAGATCAGATCAAAACAATACTCTCTCTATTTCATCTCCTGTGGTTAAATTCTTTGGACTAGGTTCAAGCCTTTTGATCTTCACAGTTCCTTCAGCCTTGAGACCTGAAGCAGAACAACTGGAACAGTAAATATCAATGCATTTAAATTAGTGACATGATGATGAAGGCACTTCAGGGATCCATATCCATCTCTTCAATGAAATGTCAATTTTATAACTAAAAAGTACTTAGTTGCTTCACTAATTTCTACAAAGCTGAAGTTATTGTTTGTCCAGGCAGTGTTGTTTCAGGCAGAAGATGAAGATTAGGCTGAAATCATATACACACTTTTATGGGAGGAAGTTTCACTGAACACACTAAACAACATCTCATCCCTATCCAGGCATGGAAATGACAAAAGGAAAAGTGTAGAAACAGCTGGGGGGAAATCAACTTAATTAGAAGAAAGTAGATAAACAAAAATTGAAAATAGTAACAAAGAAGCCACTTGAAGCCTTTGAATTACCCACTAATAGGTTAATGAGAATATTACAATACTAATTATGGAATTACTAACAAGACTGTAATTAAATAGTATCTATATTAGTGCTGTATAAACTAGGAACTTATATAACAATAGTTCTCAGATGGGCTGAATACTGCCATACAACTTTTAAAGGAGAATACAATATGCACAGTTGTAGACTTTAAGTAAAAAGAACCCAATCCGGGATCCCCTTCACTTCTCAAGTAATAAAATACACAGGGAAACTGTAGATGTGGATCTAATACTCCTGTGTGTTCACCTGTCTCTTAGTTACACAGTTGGATCAGTTCAAGAGAACAATGACCAAGTATGGAAGTTCCAGCGTTACTTCTTGGTTCAGGAGTACTGCAGCCGCTTAACTATCCCCTTTCCATTTGTCATCTTTGCCTATATCTACATGGTCTTGAGGAAACTACTAAAATGCTGTTGTAAGAATGAATGTAAACAACCATCAATCTGCTGTAAGTTCACTGATTTTTATGCTAAACAAATTAGTGAAAAGGAAGGAGGGAGGTGGGAGGTTTCCTTGAGTAAGAGCCGTAGCAAAGAATTAGGGCTTCAAGGCAGTTGTCCATCCAATGTGCTTTTGTGTTGTGGGTGCTTAACATGTTTGAAAACATTGCTGTGGGGTGTGTGTGTTAAAATGTGTGCACAATGTATGTGTGAACATATCAAAGAGAAAACCAAGCATTGTTGTGGATAAAAATAGATGTAAAAGTGACAGGTATTTTTCTGGCGGTTTTGTGATTGATGGAGGGGTGAGGGATAAAATAATTCCTATTAATAGGAAATAGGTTAAATGCCCTTTCACGCAGAAAAGAAATGCTCTATAAAATGTAGAATACTGTACTGTGCAATCTTAGGTCAGATGGACTTGAATCAAATTCACCTGGAATGTGTGTGCCCTAAACAAAGGCAGTAAACAATTTAAATGAGAAAGGAGGGCCTACCTTTACCTGCCATACAGGAGGCATTAGTTAATTGGTCAGTGAGAGGAAGAGGAGGTCAAGCTAACTGCCCAGCATAGGGAAGGAGCTATATTTAATTTTCAAGTAGTGAGTGAAGGTGAGCTATTAAGGCCACGGTACATTTATGGAAACATAACCTCTCTGAATGTCACGGGACTTGCTGCTGAACAGTCTTGAATTGAGATGAGCTGTAATAGCGACAGGCCTTCTAACTGAAACAAAGTTTACCCTTTAGGTTGCATTCAAGCAATCTGAGTGTACTTTGAAAATTTTTGAGTATTGGTATTTAGTATGGATTTTATATTTTGAAGGCTCGAGAAATGAAGATAATGAAACTCTGGCATGGGAAGCTGTCATGAAAGAAAATTATCTTGTCAAAATCAATACAAAGGCTAATGACTCCTCAGAAGTGTATGTTGTCTTCCTTTGTTTTTATTATTTAATAAGACTTCATGTCATAGATTTTATTTTGAAACCATTCTGGAGATGGTGTGATACATTTATCTGCAGATTTTAAAGAATTCTTTAATTGATTCAAATATTACTTTTCAGAAAGAGAAGATTGAGAAGTTACCAGATTTTTAGTGATAATCATGCATTATAACTTTGCTACACAATATTGTAACATTTTAAAAAATAGTATAGCAGATTGACAACGATGCTATTAATGGTCAATTTTATTTAACAGCAGTAGAGTAAGAATCAGTTTTAGTTTTGGTTCATGAGTCTGCCCTAATTACATATAATATAAGGCTGTAATCTCATACAAGACATTTTAATTCGTTGTGCAAGTTTAAGTTGATTGACCTATTACCCAAAATCCTGTGGCACAGAGCTGTATAATATCATCATTAGCAGTAGACTGTTGCTGATTAAAGACTTCTTTTTGTTTGTTTTTGGCCTTGATTAAACAGGTGCTTTAAGCATTAATAAGAATATATTGTTGAAGCAGGAGTCACACAACCTTAGCTTTTAATAAAGATATGAGGAAAGTTGTTGATTACCCTCTACAGTGATTATGAAGATATTTTTTCTTATTAATGCTTAAAGCACCTTTTTAGTCAGCATACACACAAACAAACCTGCATACCTTTTTAGTCAGTTTATGTACACACAGAGGAACTTCCATGTTAATTATATTCTGATGTATCCATATCTACTAAATAGTTTATACTAAATAGTTTATGTGGATGTGTATTGAAATATCTAAAAGGATTTTATTTTATTTTATCTTATATTGCCAGATGTGCATCCTCAAGTTAAGTGAAAACATTTGTAATTTGCTTCCTTCCTAATCACTCTGTTTTTCCCCACAGAATGGCACAGCGGTTTAGACAGTTGGATACGAAGGTACCTCTTATTTTGATGAGTTTTTGCTTGTAAAGCTTTCTAGTGTATTTAGAAGTGCACTATGATAACATAAAAATTAGGAAATTTCAACTTCCCATTGTATCTGGGGTTACCATATTACCTGGATTTTAGGTATGCCACCAAGTGGCCATTTAGCCCATCAGGTGGCCAGAATTCCAAGCTTTTATTTGAAAAAAGAATAGTCTATCGTTTATAGAACTGGAGCTTTAAGGCAAAGGAGAAAGGAGACTTTTGGAGTGATTAATCAGCAAGTGAAGTCCTTCATAGTTTGACAGAAGTTCTTGAATGTATGAATATATTCATCCTCTCTCAATTCATGAGCCACGTTTGGCCAAGAGATGTTGATTGCCCCAAGGATACCAAGTAATATTTGTAACTGGGAGATGGAGCACCTGGCTACACAGCCAGGATTGGGTGAGCCTCTCAAGAAAAGAACCAGCCTGTGGCATAGCCTTCGGCAAGCTCTTTAGTCTACAGAAGAGAAGAACAGGAAACCACTTCTGTGTAGTCTTATAGGAAGGAGTGTAACAATCCTGGCTCCTTAAAGAGACAATGATCATGGTCAGGGAGTTCCTCTGGGCACAAAACTACCACCTTTATTTACTAAGGTGGGTCCTTTAGGCCTCAGAAGTGCGTAGTAAGCCCCATAGACAAGCCTGAACCTTAAAAGTAACCTTGATCACTTCTAAAGCAATAAAAACTAGGCTATGTGTTTCCTTAGAATACACACCAGCCTTGTAAAATAGAACAGTAGGACTACTGTTTCCAGTAGTCACTATTAACCTCCTTTCATCCACACTGGATTTAGTTATAGTCCTGCTGTATGAAGAGACTAGTCCTCTGTTGGAGGTTTATATGTGTTTTATTTAGAAAATGAAGTAGATTCATTAAATTACAGTTGTAACTTTAAAGCTTAAGCATTAGGCATTTTCAGACAGTTACAATGATTAAATAAACTTACAATTTCTAATTAAAATAAAAACAACTACGTATAGGCAATCATCTTGGCTAGAGGATGGGCTACTTGCCCCTCCTTCTTGAAAAGAAAAACCAACCTCTATGTCTCACATTCCACAGCATTCAAGGACCAACCTATTCACATACACAAACCCTCTCATTTTACGTCTCTTTAGGACCACCTTCTTCATGACACTTCCAAGCTGTCAACCAATTAAGTCCAAGTAGGCCTAATTCAGAACACTCTGATCACCGCCCCAAATTCTTATGATCCAGGCTCCAGGTTTCTTACCTCCTTCAATTTAGCGATCTGTTGTTTCATCTTATTTTCCTGGACTGTTCGACCTTGTGAATTAGGCAAACAACTCTCCACAACAAGCTCCTGAAAAACATCTCTTTTAAATTCATCTTACACAGAACCCAGTTTTTTTTCCATTTCCTTACAAGGAGAACCTTGAAAGGGTCGCCATAGGCCAGGATCAACTGGCTGAAACATCATTATTTATTACTCAGGAATTTGAATTTGGGTCTTTCAAGTGCTACACTGCAATGATTACTGGGATGGGATTTTTAGGGTTTTTCGACTACAAGTCCCATAATTCTCCATTCCGGCAATTCTGCCTGACAGACACATACTGGTTGCTCACTTGAAAGAAAGGACTACCTGGGGCATAGCTGGAAGTTTTCTTTCTGAATAGAAAACTAGGCTTTGCTATGTTTCAAACTTTTCCAGTTTAGGCCTTTCTTCAATTTGAGCCACATTTAGATGTATTAAAGGTGTCTGCCTGACAGACTGGACTCCCAGAATAAAGATTTATTGGATTTGTAGTCCAAAAATCTGAAAATCTCATCTCTTGATATCATCCAATGCTGGGTTTCTGATGCCACCTGAAGCATATCAGACAAGCAATGTAACAGCTAATGTGCATAATTAGTAAAATATATTAATTTTCATATTTTTCAAACAAGTTCATCTAATTTGCATAATGCAATATACAAATTAAGACTCCCAGGTTTGGAGAACTGCAATGGCCTAGTTATACTTCAAATATAATTGTGCCTTTGTTGTAAGTTTGTTACTGGACTGCTTCATGAATGATTTTAAAAATTCTGACAATATTGTTGCTTTTACTTTAGATTGGACTAGTTTGGCACTACTGTACTTCTTTATATGCTTTTTTGGTTTAAACACTATTTCTCATGTAATATCAATATTTTGTACTGTATATCTGCAGTATCAAAACATTTTAGTTCATCCCAGTTCAACATTTTTGTTTAATTGATAGCTAACTTTTTTCTTCCATTTCTGTATTTCTAAATATGCTGGCTACTATTTTTATGATTTGTCCCCATTCTTTTCATTAGTACAGTTCCATCATCATAATTTCCATCTACATATTTAAAATGATCAGTGCAATTAACAAGCATCTCACCCGTTAGACCTTAGGCAACCCCATCTTCCCTCTTCTTCAATCTCTAGTATCTATAGTGATACTGGCTTATTATAAGAACTGCTGAGAAAAATATAATTTAGGCTATATTTGAGTGCACTTCGATTTCATAGCCACCAGGTTTTTATGGAGCATGGTTCCACCCTACAAGGTATTAATTGTGGTGCTGAATTTTCCAAATTACTCAGATCAGTAACAACTCAGCTTTTATATGGTTCCAGATAGTTTCTTTTTTGCTAGTCAGGAGTCTGAATGTTAACAATTGATTATTAGTTCTTATTGCTCTCCCGTAAGATTTATTTATTTTTTAATTAAAGCTGAATGATCTGAAATGTCTTCTGAAAGATATTGCTAACAAACTCAGATGAAAACAATCTGGATTGAAGAGAAATAACAGCGGAACATGCCTAACAGAGGGACATCGCTGAAATAACCAACAGTTGATCAACCTGGCACCTGTTGAATGAGATGGAAAATCTTTTTACCCAGACTCCCTTTCTCTTTTTAACAAAGGATCTGTTCCTCTGGGTACCTCATTAAATCATTTCCCCTCCATTACAGTCTAATAATTTCAAGAGGAAAGTACAGAAGCTTTCTGAACCTAGATGTTTAGATAAGTGTTTGTCATGTGGTATTTTACTTAAGCTTACTGAGATGTTAATTATATGGCCAGCTGGACATCTGCAGCTATTACAAAACATAAGCTAAAACAGCCATTAGCATTTCAATGTCACATGTAATACTAATAGCTTTAGATGATCACACAAGTAGATAATTGTGGATTGGTGTATGTGGCATTTGAAATTGAAGCTGGGTCCCCATTCACAACTGATGCTTTTATGGTCAGGAATAGACCTGACTATACATTACTTCAGTGGTTCTTAACCTTTGTTACTCGGATGCTTTTGAACTGCAACTCCCAGAAACTCCAGTCAAGACCGCTGGTGGTGAAGGCTTCTGGGAGTTGCAGTCCAAAACTCCTGAGTAACCCAAGGTTAAGAACCAGTGTATTACTTGATGTTGTTACAGTGCTAGATATTATCCCTAGAATGTTAGAAATCAAAATGTTGTTATTCAGGGTACAAGTGCTTATACTACTGGGCAACCACAACTCAATCAACTCCATATATATAGGTAGCTGTAAAAATCTTCAAAGGTGAAGCTTCAAAGGTCGGACAGTCCAGCCTGAGCTTTAAAACACTAGGGTTTCCTCACCAGTAGTGGTGCTGCTAAGTTTTTGAACTTGGGGACATGAGAGGAAGAAACCAACCAGCTAGTTTAATCTGGATGTTAGACACTGCATTAGAGAGTGAGGGTCAGATGGGTTGGTTAGCGGAATTTGAAGGGGGAGGATTCAGAAACACTGCTACTAAGAACCTTTTAGAATAATTGTATAAATTTTATTTCTTTTCCACCTTTCTTTCAAAAAGGGGACCCAAAGTGACAAGGATGGGATAAGACTAAATAGTATGTGAACAGACTTGGAAATAAGAAGTGGTTATGAATCAGTATGGGGGATATTTTGTTTCAGAATAAGTGTTCTAGTGCCAAGTCTTGTAAGGTACGGAAGTTTAGGGGCTATGATGTGGCTGATATCTGGCAATTCAGCCCAGCCCACAGTAGTGCTTGCAATAATATGATGGTATAGAAATCAAGTAAATGAAGAGGAAGGGAGAGAGAGAGAGAGAATAATCAAGATGTACATGGGAGTGGAAAAGTAAATTGAAGTGTAGTTGGGTTTTATTCTGGAATCTTGTTCATTAGGTGATGCAGAAATGGTATCAAAAAGAAAAAAAGAAAAGAAAAGAAAAAAGAAATGATAATATCAGAAACTTTTTTGTTACCTTCGCGGTCCACAGCTTCATGGAAGAATGTTCTGATGTCTGCATGTAAAATGCTGTAGCACTAACAATACTCACTAGCTATACCTGTCAGCATTAAGTTTATTTTTTAAAAAAGATTAAACTAACTTAATTTAATGACTGCTTTCTGTTGTCATTTACAAATTACAAATAACTGGAGGTGGAACAGATGTTGCATTTTCAAAATCTCAAATCAGTCAGGCAGTTAGAAGGACAGTTCCCAGTTGTTCCGCCTGAAGAATGAGGAGCTTTAATTTTTTCCTAAGTTTTAAGAGTGCAAGGTTACACCTTAACTGCACCTAGATATGTCTGAGAGATGTTAAAAGATGCCGGAAGCAGAGCTGGCAGCAGAAGATGCATTATTGCCTCTACCACACCTTCTTTACTTCTCAGTATTTGCCATCTCTAAGGTGTGTTTAATAATCAATTATGCTAGGAATGACTAATACATGCAAACTTCAAATCTTAAAATGATTTTCATGCCAATAAATGGCTCGATTCTGCAATTCTTGCAAACATAATGGAAAGCTTTGCCCTTCCTGATGCTGATCAAAGTGAGGCCCTGAATTTTTCTAGACTAGACATGAATACTGCCATGCAAGGGGACACTGAGGCGCACCTAGCCCAGTATGCTGTTCCGCACCCCAGCAACCTCTGTGAAGATTGCAAGCAGGCTGTAAATGGGATGATTCCCAGGAGACGCAACGCAGAAGTACATAATGTCCGGATATACAGGCCAGCTGTTTGTCCTGGCCAAGTACCAAACAGGAAACCATGTAATCCAATGTGCCTCTCTGTCCCACGAATGTCACTATTTGCATCAGGATGACAGACACCTATTTAAATAGTAAACTGATGACAGCAAGATTTTTAAGCCCGGACCTTGTTAGAATCAGGAGTTCCTGTCCCTGTTCAAGAAAGGAGCAACTTCATGTATTAGACTTCAGTACTTCGTAACATTTTTAGGGATGTACAAAACTTTTAGTTTTGTTCTTTTTGGTTTCTTTGCGTGGCTTGTATCTTTCATTTTGGTGTCATTTTTGTTTAACATGAAAGGGACCTCTTGAGTTATTTTTCCCTATTCATGTTCTATCTGGCACTCATTCAAAAATACTGAAGAAGCCATAAAAGCTACCTTAGGAAAGCAAAGGCAAGCCAACAGAGAATCGATCTACTCCAGAAGCAAGCAGTTAACAGTACAACCACCATCAAACAAAGCAGTCCTCCCAAAACACCAAAATACACATCTTTAATAAAATAAATACATAGAATAAGTTAACCAAACAACAAATTTTAAAAGCGAATGAGAGGGAAAACACCCATCCACATTGGCATCCTTCAATGAGACTATGGTAACGTGCTCTGAATGGAGGACTTGGAACAGCATCTAGTGTGGCTGAGAAGGCCAGTTCGAGAGTGACAAGCCTTCCACACTGAAGACAAATACAATCTGTCCCCTGTCCAGCTCCCTGATTTTGCTGGTTTCAGGACAGCCTCTTTGCCTCAGCCTGCTGGACAAGGGTCTCTTCAAATAGAAGAGGCCATGATGCAACGCCTGCCTCCAGGCTGAATGGTCAGATGTCAAGGTTTCCCATCTGTTGAGGTCCATTCCTAAGGCCTTCAGATCCCACGTGCAGATATCTTTTATCACAGCTGTGGTCTCCCTCTGGGGTGATTTTCCTGCACTAATTCTCCATACAGGAGATCTTTTGGAATCCGACCATCAGCCATTCTCACAACATGTCTGAGCCAACGTAGATGTTGCTGTTTCAGTAATGTATACGTACATGCTAAAAATTCCAACTCGTTCCAGGGCTACTTTATTTGTAACTTTGTCCTGCCAGGTGATACCAAAAATGCATTGGAACGTGTTCTGCTTCCTCTCCTGCCATACACAAAGGGTCCAGGACTTGCTGCAGTACAGGAGTGTGCTCAAGACACAGGCTCTATAGACTTGTATCTTTGTATATGCCACCCATATAAACGGGATAAAATAGCACGATGTAACATACACACACATACACACAGCCTCCACCTCCTCAAAACCACAAAAAGCAAGCAAGGAAATAAAGGCAAAAAAGCAAGTAGTGTCCCATCCCACACATGAGAAGGATATGGGGAGATTTGGCATCCCCTGCTATTTGCCCTCTCTTGTATTCACTGAGTCCCAAAGAGCACCAATCAGACTGATATAAAAAATGATCCAAGAAAGGGAAGGACCGAAGAGTTGAAAAAATCCCCAAAGAAATGGGAGAAGGGGAGTTAAAAAAAAAATCCCAAGGAGACAAGTGGGCGGGTGGGATGAAAGGACCCAAAGCAGAGCAAGGCACAGACAGGCTGAAGGCAGCCAGGGATCATAATATGGAGGGTGCCAGGAGTCCACACACCACAAAGAAAGAACAGTTCATTTATTCAACTGCCCTAGAAAAGCACTACCCTAGAAAAGCTACTCTCTACTCCCACTGGATTCCAACCAATCCAGGCCCTTACATCAAAATGCCCTCTGTTTCCCCCAGACGTTCTGATTGGTTGTTCACTGTCGCCCTCATGACACCATTAGAATTTCTCAGATGATTGATGGACAAGAGGTGAAAGAAACAGTGAACCAATGAGGGAAATCAGGGTGGGGGGATTTTGTGCCCTTCTTCATTCACCTGGGCTGTTCATGTTTAAAAAGGTTCTTTTTGGAGTCAACAAAAAACCCTAAGAGCCTTTTTTTTTGTTTTTTGATTTGTGTTTACACAAAAATCCCATCCCTACACATATTCCCAAGGATTGAGAGCAACACATGGCGTGTTAAGTATTATTTAAGGAGAGGTGTCGATAATAAGAAGTGGTCTTTAAAGGCAATATTATGTTTGCAAGACGTTTTCTCCCCAGGGACAGGAAAGTGGTTGGTTGGATGTTCAGAATAGAACCAAAAGAGTGAAGCAACCACTAGGTGGCACAATTGACAATGACATTTCAGACTGCTCACTGCTTTGGGGTTTTTTTTTTTAATTACTCATCTATAGGATAGTCCACTTTATAGTTATGTTCTTCAAAAGAGATCCATAATGTGCCCATCTGTTTTCAAGCTATCAGTTTTCCAGCCTCTGTAACTTCAGTGGAAGTTTTCTAAATTACATTTGAGTGATAGGGGATCAAGGGGAAAACGTGTACCTAAAGAAATCTAAATTTGACATTAACTTTGCAGCTAGGCATGAGTTCTGTTTGAAATCTAATACTACTTGGGTGTGTGCCAAATGTTGCAGACTAGTAGCTGGCATTTAATCACATCTCATAATGATAATAATAATTAATTAATGCTATGAACATTATTTCAAGATAAGAGTTGCATGAATTCATTGGCCAAAGAAGCTCAGAAAAGGTAATCCTTCAGTGAGTTAAAGGGGCTGCTCCCTCGCAAAGATGCTTCAGACAACTACGTGAACTGTTCAGCTGGAGGTCAGCACTGTTGAGTGAGTGCTTGCTCTCCTACATACATGCCTGCAGAAACAACATCAGCATTGGAAGAACTGGCAGTGAGCAAGCCAGATCTCTGTACAAACCAATGGATGAAGCAGCGGTATGTTCTGTTTGTTGGTTTGGGGCTTGGGGCTGCAACTCCCAGAATTCTCCAAAAATTCCCTAGGCCAAATTCTAGGAATTGCAGCCCACCAACCCAAATCTGCAAAGCTCTAGTTTTCATCTTCTAAAGATGGGCTTTCAGCTTACAATGGTGCCTCGCAAGACATATTTAATTCGTCCCACGGTTAATGTCGTCTTGCGAAAAATTTGTCTTGAATTTCCCCATAGGAATGCATTGAAATCTAATTGATGTGTTCCTATGGGCAAAAAAAGTCAGAACAAAGCCAAATTTGGTTTACAAAGGATTTATTTATTTATTTATTTATTTATTTATTTATTTATTTATTTATTTATTTAACTTATATGCCGTCCACTCTACCCAAAGGTCTCTTATTAAGTGCTCTTTAAAGCCATACACATTGTACAGATGATTTCAAAAATTTCAATAAAAAAACTTTAACTTTTTAAACATCCTAGAAAAAAATTTAAAAATCAGCAAACACGAGG